GCTCTCACCTGAACTAACAAATAATAGCAGAAGCCATAAAATTAGAAAGTAACTAAGATCTACAATTACATTTATGAAAAGCCAAATATTTCATTACAGTGAGGAGGACTACAGAGTTAAAAATCTGGCCTTTAAATAACCTTTAGCCTTAAAAGACACACAATATACACTCTTTATTTCAGCTTTTCTATCAGATTCTGCGTGATTCATTTTGAGATTAACAGCTCTTCCAAGGTCAATTTATTTCCAATTATTTAAACGTAATGTCTGTACTGTTCAGTAATTACAAATGGATAATTTTTCACATTTCAGTCTACTGCAACTGAACTTTTTACAACTTAAATGTCAAAATCTAATGGGATGACCATATGTAATTAAAATAAACATAAATAATTATGTATTTTATACTTGACAATTAAAAAGGACAAAGCAGTTGTAATAAGATACAGTTGCATTCATTTTCACTGTGCACCCTGAAAAAGACATTTTAAAGGAAAAGAAATCTAAGCTTATAGAGATAAAAATAGGACTGGTGCAGATGCTCTGCCCCAGGCAGTAAATCCTATGGACATGGAGTGCCCCCTGTGGGAATTTGGCTTATTTAATTTCACACAAAGTAATTCTAGGAGGTGCTCTGGTACCATTGCTGTAATCACATGATGGCCTGATATACCAAGTGGCACACAGACCTTATAGTCCAGTTCAATATGATGCAGAGTTTCTGCTGGGCCTAGAAAATCGTATCTTGCAGATGATATGTATTACCGTTTAATAGCAATGACAACAAATGCGAAGTGATTTCAAATTACAGAGACAATTGTTTATACATGTAGAACACACACATCCTTCTGCGGTTACTTTTCCTCTGGAGAACTTCTGATAAACCATAGGCACAAACCATAATTTCCTCTAATGAAAAAGAAAATACTAAACTCTTTAATTTCCAAGAAGACAATTTCTTTTTTATCACTGGATGGACACTAATACTTCTCTTTTTTTTCTGGTCTGTTCACCATGGGTACACATAACCTGAAATATTTGCCTTTGGTTAAACTGTTTGCTGCATTTGAAATTACTCCACACCTCATTTAGGATCAACTGAAATTACTTTTCTGGCAAATAAACTGTGCCAATTAATCAGTTTCTTTTGGACTACTTTCAGTTTCAAGCTTATACTCATACCTCCAGACAATACTGCTTTATTGCTGAGAGGATGAACTTTTCAGAAGATAAATAACCTTAGCTTCCACTGACTTTTCACTTGTGAATGTTTGTGTGTGTGTGATTCGTCTTATCTGACAGCCAGAAAATGAACACATGGACTTAATCAACCATCTATCAAATATTTTTAAGTCACTTGCATATCATGCAGGAAAACTATAGCAAAGATAAGGATGAACAGCTTTCCTGCACAGCCTCGGTTGGCATCTTATGTTTAATAGTAGCCCTCATGTAGCTCTCAGCAGGCCTTCCAAGCCATAGTAGCCCTCATGTAGCTCTCAGCAGGCCTTCCAAGCCATAGTAGCCCTCATGTAGCTCTCAGCAGGCCTTCCAAGCCCAGGATGAAATAAAGAAGGAATACAGTAAACAGCTTCATTAAGCTACACGGGCCTGGTTCATCTCTGATCACTGCCTACACTCTGAATCAAACAGAACACTATTTGTGGGATGTACTCATGTTATTAGAACTACAGTGATAAATATTCAAAAGACCATTCATGTAAAGTCACATAAGAAATCAAACAACATTTTTGATAGCTTGATTTTGAAACGTAAGTTATGTTCCATTATAACAATTCATTTGTCTGTAATAGCCTTGATTATTTTTTAAAGAAAAAAAAGGATAGTAAATTATTCTCGGACAAGTAATAATCTTTTTGTTGTGTGCCAGCAGGATGAAGGATTCAACTCTGAAGCGCCAACTACATTATGTAAGTCTGCATCCCTTGAATTATAGGGCTAGCAGCGACTGCAATTAGCAAGAGAAGGCATAATTCAGGAAAGGGCTGTTGGACAGTTTTCCAGGTCTGAAAGAACAGATTGAGAAATGTTCCAACTGGGAGTTTTCAACCCCAAAGCAGATGACTAGGAAGAACCTTCTGGTCCTTCGACCATAACAAAAGGCCTGCCTAGCAAAAAACCCAAAAAACAACCAAAAACTCAAAACATTCTCTCCTCTACATGCAGACACAGTGTCTGTTCCCCTTCCCTATAAGCACAGTGCCTGCCGCTACAGTTTTGGCAATTGCGTGAGCTCGGCCCAGATTAGGCTGTTTGTGCTCGGTTATTTTCACACACTGCCAAAATTTGCTGACAACACCAGGAGGAAAAAAAAAGGAAAGGAAAACCGGTGATTTTCAACAGTTTATAACTCAGCTCAGCCTAAGCAGGTTTTTATGGGACAAAGAACAGAGATTTCTCTGTAGACAGCACTTTATTCCTGCCTAATTTAAAAGATTTGCTGTGAATGATGGAAACATTAGAACTTTTTAAAGAAAACATAACAAAACAAAAATCCTAGCAGTTCACTAGTATTTTTTTACAGTAGATCAGGTTTGGTGATATTAATAGAGAGATCATTATCTACCTCTCTTACAATTATTTACAACACAGGTGAGTTGTTTGTTTTTTTTTTTAAAGAAAATGAAAATATAAGACTTAAAGGAAGAGGGCTTCAAAATACATAGTACTTCTTTAAGGAGTTAAATTTCTTCCTTGGGATAATTCACACTTGAGCTATTCTAGTGCCACAGTATTCCCTAAGGAGTGTGAAATGATCTTCTCAGGGTTACAGAGTAAGTAGTAAACACAAGTTCTACTCTAAGAAAGAGTATTTTAAATACATATTTTCATTACCATAATATCTAACAACTTTCTATTAAACCCAGAGGTAACTTCTGGAGTCCTCTTGTTGCTTTCTTTCAGTCCATATCTAGAATTTCCTAAAGCAGCATTTCTTAAGCTATTTATCTTTTATGCTCCCTTGCCCCATTTAGCTGATTGCAGGGCCCAGGCTGTTAAACTTACACCTCTATCAAATCTCAAATTTAATCAGTACTGCTTTTGAGTACCTCTAACTTTTCCCAGTGAAGCATGCCCTAAGACTTGGGAAACAATACTGCTCTACTGTATCTTTGAACAGTATCTGTGCAACAGCTATTGTTTCCATTAAGGATACCAAAACCAGCTAACTGCTTCACAAAATTGAACACTTGTTTAATTACTCTTAGTTTCGAGTTAAAACAGTAGGAAACGTTCTAACAAACAACATTAGAAACTTTTTGCTAAACTGGAAAACAGATGACAAGAGTGCTTTTCATAATAGGAATAGGCTGGGAAAGTAGGGAAACAAAGAATATACTGCAGTTTCTGTATATAAATACAAGATATTTAATTGACTGGGAGTCCTCAGAAGTGACTTGTGTGCAACAGAGCGTCATGGTGAGGGTGAGTTTTTGAAGTTTGGATGCCTTTGGCAGCTTTATAGAACTTTAAGACAGACCAGCTATGACTAAAACATGCTCAGCTAGTTAACTATACAAACGTAATGTTTTTTCCATCTTTCTCTCCATGTGCTGACAGCATTACCATTCTCTCCAGTGTTCTTCTTCCTCCTGAGGCACAATGGATCTACCAGTTTATGCAGTCCTGATACTACATTTCAGTACAACAGCTTTCCAACAATAACTTACTTAGCTAAGAGAGGTCATCACTTAGAAGAAGCGAGTAGTTATATTAAAGGCTCTAGAGCTACGCAATTCCAAATTCATTTCAGGATATACTGTACACTACGTGTTTATTTTAATGAGAAGGTTTGGCAGAGCAGTTTGGCAAAAGAAAGTACTGCCAAGTGATTGGATAAGGGATATACCTCCAGTTGCTTTGGATTCCCACATCACCTTAAGAGCTATTCTTCCCATCCCCCAACACACCAACTCTCAAGGCAGTCAAATTTATAGCTCAATAAAATTTTTTATTAAAAATAAAAAGTGTGGCTTCTAAGTACTGCAGTCTTCCAACGTCCTTATGCCAGGTCTAGATCAGACTGCTGTAGCTGAATATGAAGCTTAGGAGGCTTGGCCCACTTTATACAGCACTCCTAAGTTAGAGTTTCAAGATCTAAGCCACCTCTCTTTCCATTCTGTAACAGCTGTTTCTCTACCCTTTCATAAAACAAAAAGAAAAAGAAAAGGAAAGAGACTAGTGTAGAAAAGTTAAATAAATAAATAATGGTTCACAAAACCACAGTGGAGGAACCACTGCTGGCCCTGCCAATAAAAATGTTCCTTCTTTTCAGGGCTGGCTAAACAACTGAAAGTGTTTCTAATGAACTGCTGGCAGCACTATCCATCATTGCACTAAATAGATTCATGTCTCCCTAAACTAAGGATAACTATTTATCTATAATGCACGGTCAGAAATTAGGAAGTATTTAAGCCTTAGAAGTCTAATTCCTCATTTCTCCCCACCTCCTCAAAGCTTGGTTTTATTCAGGCCTCCTGATGCAAAGATGATGAGAGAAGTCCAACTGATAGAGAACTTCAAACTGTTCCAGTGCTAATGAATCACCTGCATGAGTAGGAAAGATACTTCAGCAGAACAGGTATCTGCAGTCTCTCTTTCTTTTTCGTCATTTGTTACACTGACTTGTGTCTTACCTTAAAGTAGATTATCAATAGATTATCTTGCTACTGAAAGCAAGATGGCACATTTATAAGACACACAAAATAACTGAGTCCCAATAACGGTTTAGGATCTTTGAAGATACTATTGTGCAAATAACAGTAGTCTCCTGCATACAATTAGAAGGAAGAAATGTTTTTGAGCTGTATCAGGAGTGTGAAAGTCAGACAGGTAAGCCCTCGCCAGAAGTCACTTCTGACTGCTAAACTGATTACATAGACAGATGCTATCTACAGAGACATAGAACACCAGCAATCAGAGGAGAATTCAGAGATATCAATAAAACATGCCTACAAATAATGAAAGTAAACACTTACTTCATTTCCAGGACTTCCTCCAAATGTTTCCTTCTTTCAGCTCGTAGGTTGGTCAAGTGGGTTTCCTTCTCAGCCAAAGACTGTTGTGTAGAGGATAATTTTGCTTTCATAGACTCCAGCTCCTGCTTAACCTTCTCCATGGCCATCATCAGCTCTTCTACCTAAAATATTTTTTGGGAAGACAGGAGTAGAGAAAAACAGTGTAATGTGATCAGCTGGAACTCACTAAAAGTCACAACTAAATCTGAGCACAAAGATTACCGGTGCATGTACACTGCATAACACTTTTGTAGACTGGAAGTAGCATCTACTGCTGTGGACAGGACATCTATGCTTGACCGAAGCAACATCATAGTCTGTGAATTAACAGTCCGGTCACTGGAACGTTACCATTACAGTACCAAATTACAACTCTACCACTCTTCAGTATTTCTGTTTTAGATAATGTACCACAAGGGTAAACAGATGTTCTGTATATATTAAAATTAGACCACAAAAATGCTAGGTATTAAATAGAATACATTGATAATATAGCAGAAGGATAAAAAACTTTCTCTGGAAATTATGCCTAAAGAGAAACTACGTATGCACTTTAAAAATGAAGACAGTTTCTGAAACAGGGAGAGTACTGGGTTCCCATGAAGATGTAAGTAAGGCTACTTCCTTCAAGATATCTGCTGAACAATGCTTATATGCATGTTTTGTGATACAGCAACATAAAAGACATTCAAAGAGTCGTTGATGGCACACAAGGCCAGCAGAACAATGCTCATATCTTTGGCATGTGGGAAGGGTTCAGAATTCACATGATTGTAAATTCTAGCATATATATTACACAGATGAATATAGTCTTATTTTATTTTCCACTTGGAGCAGGTTCTGTCTCAGCTAAATTTTATCACTATCTCTCATGCAAAACCACAATAAATGCTCAAGTATACCCACATGTAACATACAAAAGCCTCTGAATATTCTTTTAATAATTTTACAATAATGCTTGATGGATTTTTTTTTCTGTCACAACCAAGTGTTCATAAACAATTTTATAATGTGCTTTGAATAGGAGAAACTCAGATGCTGCCGGTGCACTTGATCAAACATTTGCATATATTTAGGATGACGACAGAGCACTGTATTGCATTTATATCCCTGCATAACAATCAACTTGTGCTCCATCCTGGAAGTGAATTACTGAAATTATATTAAACACTTAATTTCTACTTACATGTTTTCACAAAGGGAGTTAGGCACACTGTTCGCTACACAGGTGCTGGAGATGCAAGGTATGGCACACACCACCCCTTGCTTTAATAAATCCTATACTCCTAAAGGCAGAGCTAATGACCCAGGACAAACATGGATAACAAGACTGGTTTTCACACTCAACTAGCGATAGAGCAAGAAACATTGCAATTCTGAATTAGCAAGTTTATAAAAAACTAGCACAGACATTGTGCAGTGTTTACTGTGGAAAGCCTATCTCTTTCCACTCAAATGCAGCTGACAAGCAGCATTCTTCTTACGCCCAGCATATTAAGGAAAATTTTAAATATGCAGTTATCAAAAACTATTCAAGATGTACAGCTAAGAGTTCATCCAGTAACTAACAGACCAAGGAGAATTTCAGTGTCACATAGCCCAAACTGGCTAGCATGCATATAATAACCAAAATTTTCCTGGTTTATTAGTGTATACTGAGGAAAACAAGATCAGAAACTCTGCCAATTTTTAAAGCAAAGAGAAAACTTTATAAAATGAAATCAAAAAATACATTAGAAAAGAATGCAAGGAAAATCTGCAGAAACAATGAATAGCAAAAATACTATGAGGATGGAAACTCAGATACTCAGAAACAGAAAAATAGCAACATGCTGGGGCAGTGAAGGTGCATTAGTGTATCAGCTTCTAGTATATGAGCTTCCATTTCTTTTGGGTGGATCAGAATGACCTACATAAACATTTTCCTTTACAAACAGAGAAGAAAAGAGGCACGCAACTACAAAAGCCTCTCCTTGTAATAGAAAACAACCTCAAATAAACAAGCCCCCAGCCAACTGCAACAATCAAAACGGCCTGTGTCAATCTGTCAGTTGCCAAGATAAAACAATCTTTGAAGCGATGTCTTTTCCATAATGAGGTTTGAAAGATCTCTGACATCCTTCATTCCATTCCCAGTCATCAAGGTTTGTGATGCTAACACTGAAGGACTGGTTTGCTTGATGCAGATCTGTATCATAGCAATTCTGTGCTGTTAAACAGACACAACAAGGCTGGAGGCTTGTATCTAGACCAAGGCTCCTGGTGCTAGATGGCAAGGTCTAACTCTGCAGGAGTACTGTGTAGTAGTGGTTATTGCAGGTACTTAATCTTTCTCTCATAATTTTGTTTGCTAATTCTTTTAATTCTAAGGTTATATTCTGTATTTTTGCAGGTTAACGGAAAACTGATCTGACAAGTGTATACAAAAATGGCTAGAATGCAAGTAGCTTTTCAACTGTGTCAAAACTTAGTTTACAGAACCGTCATTACCTTCCATTCTCTCCTGCAAGTACCATTTCTCATGCGATTTACTAAAGAAAAAAATACACCAAAATAGTGATGATTGTATTCACAACAAAGACTTCGTTGTTCAGATTCATCAAGTTATAGATATTTCATGTGACCATTTCAATTAAACTTCTACAACACAAAACATTTTATTTGGCAGCTTATGAGTCTTAGTGCAGACCTGTCTGTGTATGTCCCAGTAAGTAGTCCTCTGAGAAATAATACAGGAATATTCACTGGAAGCAAACTGCTTGCAAAGCACATCTAATGTAGCCAACACAAGAAAACTTCAAATCTACCCTTGATTTTTTTTTTTGTCCTGAGAGCAGCTAATTATATAATAAAGAAAAGGTATTTGCCAAGAACCAGAGTTCTTGCACTCAAGAGACATTTTCAGAGACATGCTGTTGACATTTTCAATTTAACTAGAGATAAGCTTGTGCCCTATCAATTATAACCAGAAAGTTTCCATTTCAGAAGGTGCAGAGAGTGCACTCTTGCTCCTCCTTTCTCTCTGCTCAAACGATACTATATAAAGCAGAGTATATCTTTGACTATCTATGACTTATCCATGATTCAGTTCTCTGTAGACCATCCTGAAAGGTCTCAATGTATTCTGAGCAGGATGTATCTGCAGAGAACTTAAATGGAGTCTATTTTTCCATTGTTTTCAGGCCTTAAGTGACCTGACCAGGTGACAGCTTATCTTTAAGGAAGAATATGAAGCTCAGTGAAGTTTCCATTAAAGGAGGGAGTTCCTGAGAGACCGAACAAACTGTGTGAAGAAGGGCAAACTATGTCAATTAGATCAGCATGGGATTCACACCACCAGAGAAGGAAAATGTCGACACAGGGCAATTTTTTTTACATAGCGTTACATCTGCCTAGAAAGGATGAAAGCAAGGTGGAGAGAAAAGTCAATACAACAGAAGTTTATCTATCTACCCTGTCAATGGCAGCTTGTAAAGAAATAGAAGAAATGACATAATATTGAAAAGCGAAGCCCTTTTCACGACCATATCTATTATCTTAACCTCCCTGCTCTACAACCTCTAATTTCAGGCTCCTTTGATGCAACTGTAAATCAGAAAACAGGATCACAAGCTCAAATTCACACCTCTTATGTGAGAAGAACTAATGTACCACTGAAGATATCAGAGACACAGCAGGTATTTCAGGCCAGGAAAGGGCTACATCAACTGTTGTGGTTCATATTGGATGCCTCTTAAAATCACAGCTCAAAGGTCAATCCAGACAGACAGGCTAACTAAAGCAGCCTTAGGATCCCCAAATGCTTCAGTGTGTTTAAATTATAGTGTAGTGGCAGCTATCTTTTTCTTACCATTGTGAACTTCTTCCTCAGTGATGAAGGATCACCTGAAGAGAACTTTTCTACTGCACAGAAAATTGAGAAAGACCTTCCCTCTCAGGAAGTTCTGCAACTGCATCTGCTTACATCTTTTCAGAGAACCAGCGCAACTTTGTCTCATCATCCAAGCAACAAATGCATCATGAATGCTGCTAATACGATGGAAGTGACAGTATATGAATGCATTTACAGTTCAAATGCATAGGACTGGCTTAAGTTATATTATTAAGGATAGCAAATCACTGGTACACTATATAAAAAATATTTTATGTTAATGTTAGATAAGGCTTTTCCCCATGTATAGATCAACAGTCTTTGCACTTCTCTCTGTTACTAGCAGGATATGATTGGCTTTCTGGGCTGCAAACACATATTGCCAGCTCCTGTCTGGCTTTTCATCCACAAGTGTCCCCAAGTCCTTCTCCACAGGACTGCTCTCAATCCATTCTTCTGTCGTACTGATAATCGGTATTTACTGCCTTGAACCAGCTACAGGTCCCTGCACTTGGTCTTAAACTTCAAGAGGTTTTTCACTGATTCAGCTAGTTTCAACCATCCAGATGGTCCAAAGTATATGTTAGTCTTGTTATTTTTCCTCCCTTAATCTTTCTTTTGTTCTTTTGATCAAGCACGAAAGACTGAACATCAGCCCATAATTAAAAGTCTCAAAGGGCATGACAAAGGGACTTGACTATTGCTCTGAGAACTCTAATGCTAAACTGAGATAAAGTACTTTAGGAAAACTTACACGGAAAACTTACAGTTTAATGTTTAATTACATGTCTGAAAACAGACACATTTTTATACTTCTGATTGAAGGAAAGAAACTATATCTTTCAATATACATACACACACAGTGGGCTATGGGTTAGCTGTTCATATGCATTGTTGTCTCAGGCAGAATTCAAATGCTGACATTTTAGAGAATATAGATACAAATATCAATACAAAGAAGTCACTTTCCATCATCATTGTATAAATGAATCACTACAAATCTTATTTTCAAAACCACCTCAGCAGGTTAACTTGTATATTTAAAATTATTAGTTTTCTAAACATAGACCTTTTTTGCATAAACATGAAATCAGCATTACAAGACAAAATGTACTAGAAATCTGTACGTTTGCCCAAAATGAAGTAGGCCAGCAAAACAAAGTCTTGCAATTACATGTCAGAAGTAAAAAACACTACAAGGACTGGGGAAAAAAATGAAATCTAACATTTCTCAAAGTGCCACTCACTGTC